TGACGACCTTCCACTGTTTCTGGTCCCTCCTGGGTGCGCGGCGATCAGCGTGGCCCTTCGCCGCCGGGCGCCCCCTGCCCGCGCCGCCACATCCACCCAGGTACCGAAGCCGCAACTGCGCCCAGTCAACGCCGAGGTCCAGCGCGTCGTCCATGGCCCGCACGTCGAAGTTATGGCTGCGGAAGGAGGACAGGAAATTGACGCACGTTTGCTGGTCGCGCCGCCGCGGGTCGAGCGCGCCTTTGCTGCCAGGCATGGCGCGCTGCTGGGAGAACGCGTGCCAGGCGCCTGTGAACCTAGCTCCCAGGGTGACCTGAAGCCGCTTTATCGTCTCGCCAGGTGCCCCCCCGGGGGGGTCCCACTGGATGCCGCCGATCTTAGCTTTATATAGCTGCTGTCCCGTGTCTGGGTCTAAGGGTTCTGGACAGTGACGCGCGGCGGGGCCCGCTACCAGGGGCGGGGTAGTCAGCGGCTGGTCCTCGGCGCGGCGCCTGCTGCTGCTTCTGCGGCTGCTGCCGCTGCGTCCGCCGCCTGCCGTCTGCCGCCCACCAGACCCGCCAGCGCGGTCGGCGTCGCCACGGGCCAGGTTTCGGCCCAGGGGCGGCGGGGAGACTAGAAGGTCGCCAGTCACAGAGGCTAGGCAGGGCGTCCACCTGCTGCCACGAAGACGCGCTGGGGGAACGTTCCGGCCGCGCTGCCGTTGTTCCTCGGCGCTCGAGCTCGCGCCATCGCCAGGGAGGGAGGGGCCAGGGCAAGTAGTGTCAGCCAGGGGAGTGTGGCGGTGGGTGGTTGCCTGTTCCTGTTCTTGCCCATGCTCCTATTCCTGCGCTGGCGCCACTTCCGCGCCCTCCCCGTGGGCGGCCGGCAGCTCCTGCTCATCGGGCTCTTCCGGCTCCTGCTTCGCATGCTGCTCACGTTCGCTGCTCTGCGACTGTTCCGACTGGTTGGGCCCGCCGCCGGAATCGTCCATGGCTTCGCGAGGCGCGGCGGCTACTGGGGCATGGAAGCTTGGCGGGGACTTGCGGTTTGGCGCGGGCCGCACGGTTGGCCGCCAGGTAAAGGCCGAGTCGCCTCCAGCAGCTGGGGCGGAGAGGAACGCTGCACTGTGGCAAGCGGGGGCGGGCCCCTCCCGTTGGCGCTCGCCTTCGGACCCGCGCCCGCCCTCGTCCACGAGCGCGCCCCCATCTGTCGCAGCGCGACTTTCGCCATGCGTGGGAGTGCTGCGGGTCGCACCTGGCCCAGGCACGTTGTCAGACACCGTTTCTTTCGCCAGGACGGGAGTCGCCTTCCTCAGCGTGGCCCGGCCTTCGAGAGGGAGTGGCTGCGGTTCGCTGTCCGTTCGGGCGGATTCGCTGACAGGGGAACGAGGGCGAATGGGCGCGAAGGGACTTCTCTCGACAAGCTGACGGATGGCCTCGATGTCCTGCCTCTGCAAAGCATGTTCGTGGTTCCCCAGCGAGGGGTCTTCGAAAGTACCAGGGACGGCGGCGGGCGGAGTCGCAGCGGGGCGTTGTTGGGTCTCGCCGCCAACCAGATGTATCGACAGCCACAGGCTTTGCAAGCGATGGGCTCCGCATCGGCCGTCGGCCACGGGGATGGCCTCGGAGGCGTTGGCTGGAGGGTCTGCGCCGATCGCAAACACGCGCCCGTCTGTGGCCCGCACGCACCTCCAGGAGTCAAGCGAAACCTCCAATCGTGAGCGCCCAGGGCCGCTGTCAGTCACACTTTCGCGCACCCCCACGACGCGAGAACTGTAGCAACTGACGGCCGCGTTTGGATTTACGACCTCCTGTCTGTCTGTTGCGCGCGGAATGTATCCGATTTCCGCAGCGCCGTCCGCAGCATTCCGAACTCCCGTCGCGATGCTGTTGCCAGGAGAGTGCGCCATTTCGGGCGCATATTCGGCGTCCGCCAAGACTCTGCTCCCCAGGGCGCTGGTAGGAGTGAGGGGGCGCAATTTCGGCCGCATTTTCCGCCTCAACAACGAGACCGCCCCCGGGACGCTGATGGGAGTGAGGGTTGTAGGCACGCCTGCGCGGTTGTCCCCTGGAGGGAAGGCACCGGCGCGCTGTGGCTGACGACCGCCTGTTCGGTCTGTAGCACTCCCATGGGGACTACTGCAGCTGAAGGCCGCACGTTCCAGCGTGAACTTCTGACTCTCTATGCTGCGAGGAGGCTCGAAATATCCTCCACCATCCGCTCGGGGAAGCGTCGTGGACCTCCTCTCGGGAGGAGGCTGGTATCCGAGCGCAGGCGCGCCCTCTGCGGCATTCCCGACTGTCGCCACAAAACTGTTGCCAGGGGGGCACGCAATTTCGGCCGCATCTTCCGCCTCAACAACGAGACCGCCCCCGGGACGCTGATAGCAGCGAAGGGTTGTAGGAGCGCCTGCTTGGTTGTCTCCTGGAGGGGAAGGCACCGGCGCGCCGCGGCTGACGACCGCCTGTTCGGTCTGTAGCTCTCCCAGGGGACTACTGCAGCTGAAGGCCGCGCGTTCCAG